TTGTGCGGGTGATTGTGGTCCAGTCAGGCTGTTGGCCACAGGGGGCATGGGAGGGGTGAGGCCGTGTGCCCAGGCCCAGCCCATGAGAGCTGAGAGCTGCCTGTGTGGGCGTGTGATGGCAGGGGGCTGCCAGCTACTCTGCTGCCCAGGGTCCCTCCAGCCTCCTATACGTGCAGCCCACCCTGTCCTCTAGTCCAGGCACTGAGATCAGAACTGTCCTGTATTGCCCCCAGAAGCTGTGGCTTCTTTTACACAAGACTCTGGTGGGAGACAGGGCAAAATAGAGCCCCTTCCTTGGGTGGGGGGTGTGGCTGTGGCCTGACCGCCACCTTCCAGGACACCCCCAGGCACCACCTGGTCTGTTTTCTTTTTTGCTTCTCCTTCCTCCTTGCTCCTCTCTTCCCTCCAAGGCATCCTTTTCTTAGAAAATCTCTCATGATCTTTCTGAGGCTAGGGTAGCTGGAGCCTGTAGCTGGTGGCCTTCTCTCTCTTACACACACGTTCACCACCCCCGTCACACCCCACCCCACCTCACCATGACTTCTTGGAGGGTGAGCAGGGATCAGGGCCAGCTCACTCCTGACACCAGTGGGAGCCTGTCTGGCCCAGCTTGAGTCCTCCTGGAGAGGGACTGGGTCCTTCTCTGCAGTGGCAGGTGGAAGGTGTGAGGATGGAAGGACACCCACTCTGCCGTTCAGAACAAAGCCCCGTTCCCTGTCGTAGAGCACGGGAGAGAGAGCAGGGTCCTGGGACCCAGGGGCCTGCCTCTCTCTGGTCCTCGGTTTCCTCATCACAAGGGAGGTTGATCTAATGGACCGTAGAGGGATCTGAGAGGTCCAGGGCTGCCTGTGTAGGAATCCATGCCCCTGCTGTCCTGGGGGAGTGCCACACATCTCCTGCTGGAACCTTCACAAGCTGGGTGCCTTATCTCCTGGGGGCTCATTTCCTAGTTAAAGCCTCAGAGCTGTTAGCACCTATACTTGTTTATCTTCTGTAACTAATAAGTTTTCACTATGGTCTGATATCCCTCCCAGGGCCTTCAATTGATGGCTTAGCTTTAAGTGCACTGAATACCCTTGGAGCCAGCCCGTCCCATCAGTGGGTGCTCAGCCACGCCAGCTGTAACTACCACACCCCTAGCCCTGTGCTAAGCGCTGTGCACTGCTTATCTCACATATGCTTTGCCACCACCTTCCTGGAGTCCACCTGCCAGTCCCCATTTTACATGGAGAAGGCTGAGGCTTGTGGGCTAACATGCCCAAGGTAGTCAGCTTGTACATGGCAGAGCAGACCTAAGTCCAGATGGGTTTGCTGGAGTTCTCAGGCTCTGTGAACCTTTCCCTGATAAATGCCTGCTCTCAGTTGGCCTGCCTGTAAAATGGGGATAATTTCACCTGCCTGTTGGATTTATTATAAGGTCTAAGGAAGATAATGCAGAAAAGACACTTAATTTTTAGTTTCTGACACCCAGTTCTGGCTTGATGAATGATGGTCAATCACTATTGTATTGGACTCAGCTCCTTACCATTCCTCTTCTGCCCACTCCCACCCCTATATGTACCCAGCAAGGCCACTTAATTTCTCTGGGCCTCTGCCCCCTTTCTCTGGAGCAGGGATTATACCTGCTCTTGGTGCTTTGGCCAGAGTGAGGTCAGAGGTGCAGAAGGACTTTCCCTTCAATCCAAGGACACTAACCTGGCGACCTAGCATCAGGCTTTGTGATGTTCCCGTCTCCCTGCTTCCCCAGCCACCGCCCCAAGTCCTGTCTCCCACACATAATTATGCTCACAACATGTAGTGTAAGCAAGTAATAATGAGACTATTATCTCCCTTTAGTCTGTGTTTTTCCTTTCCTATCATAAAGTAATTAAAATAATGAATGCCTTGTAAAATAGGTAAGCGGGCTGGCAAGAGAGCGTTATCTGCCATATACCTCTTGTACTCTGAATTATTGATGCAGTGAAACCACTGTGTCTGGGGAGGACTCCATGGCTCCCAGCGTCTTGCATGATGATTCCCTCCTTCAGAGTCAGCCAGTGGCTGGGGAGTCTGTACCCCAGGATCGAGGAGTGGAGAGCTGGCTAGTTCTCCAGGTCGTGGCCCTGGACCAGTTCAGAAATGTCTCTAGGAGGCACTCTTCAAAAGGAGACACAAAGCCTCTGATCTGAGGGCCTTGCCCTGATCTCTTCCCTGTGAGGGCAGAGGGAGAAGCTGGGGTCAAGCTGGGGGTTAAGATGCACATCTCAGTTCATATCAGGGCAGGGATGATCGAGTCAGCCCAGAGTGATCAGAAGCAGTGGTCCTCCCCCTGGGGTTTCCAGACCAGCTGCACCCGCATTTTCTGGGAACTTGTTAGAAATGGGGGTTTGGGAGTGGGGCCCAGCACGGTAGCTGCACTGGGTCTGAGTTGTGGCACAGGGATCTTCCATCTTCACTGTGGCATGAGGGATCTTTAGTTGGGGCATGTGGGGTCTAGTTCCCTGACCAGGGATTGAACCCAGGTCCTCTGTGTTGGGAGTGTGAACTCTTAGCCGCTGGACTACCAGGCAAGTCCCTCAGCACTATTTCTCCACGAGCTCTCCAGGTGATGCTCCTGAAGTTTAAGAACCACTGCTAGAGTGTCCGTGGTTATAGGAATCATAGGAAGTAGTGAGACTAGTTAATAAAACACGTACTATCATGTGCCATTGGGCACTGTTTAATCCCAGCAATGCCTATAGGGTAGACAGTCGTCCAGAGAAGGTCCCATGAGGCAGAGTGGCTGAATCTACACCTTCAGTTACTAAGGTTGCCGCTGGATCAGGGTCTCTGCCTCTTCCTGGCACCCACCTGTGCAGCCTACATATGGCCAAGACTCAGGGCCCTAACCAGGCCACTGGGATTGGCCTCAGGAGGCTTGGGTAGCTGGCTCCAAAGATGTCATCAAGTAGCCCCCAAATATACCCACCCAGTGCCCCACTCCTGGCTCCTTTTGGATTGTTCCAGTGCTGGGGAGCCCAGTTCACTTGGAAATTAAGCGTGAATGCCTGCTGTAACTGATGCTCAGTCTGTCTTCCCAACGCCCTGAGTCAGGGGTGGCTGGCGGGGGAGAACCAAGCGTCAGGAGCAGCTTCCTGCCTGCCTGCAAGTCCCCAGGAGGATGACTCATTCAGTGCCTCCAGCTCTCCTTTCCTCCCTCTGTTCCACCCCCTCCCCACAGACAAAGATTTCTACCTCTGCCTTCGGGTGTTCCTCCTCACTCCAACTTACAATGATCCCCAGGGTCAGTTTGTTTTGTTAATGGATTCTAGCATTTTAAATGATGAACATAATTTTGCTGACATCTTTTTGAAACATCTATGTCTGCAAAAATACTCTCAGTGGTTATTTGAGTAGGGGGCCCTGTTAAATTTTAATTTTAATTTCATTTTAAATGAATGTGTTTTTAGTATAAGTATGTCCCATGCAATATTTTGTTGTTGTTCAGTCCCTAAGTCATGTCTGACTCTTTGCGACCTCATGAACTGCAGCACACCAGGCTTTCCTGTCATTTATTATCTCCCTGAGTTTGCTCAAACTCATGTCCATTGAGTTAGTGATGCCATCCAACTACCTCATCCTCTGTTGCCCCCTTCTCCTCTTACCCTCAATCTTTCACAGCATCGGGGTCTTTTCCAGTGAGTCAGCTCTTCGCGTCAGGTGGACAAACTATTGGAGCTTTACCATCAGTCCTTCCAGTGAATGTTCAGGGTTGAAATCTACATTTTTAAAATGAAAAATTATTTGTTTTTTATTTGAAATGCAAATTTTGCTGGGCTTCCTGTATTTTATTTGGCAGCCCATAAGCCCAGGCTCTGGAGTCAGTGAGGGGCTGACATTCATAACCCCTTTTACTTTTTCATTCATGTCTATTAAGCCGACTTTATACTAGGCTCTCTGTTGGGCACTCAGGATTCAGCAGTTGGAGGATGCAGACTATAAAAGAAATAAGTAAGAGAATTACAGAGTGTGTTATAAGTTTTAGGTGCATTGTAGAAAAATAAGGCAGAAAGGCAGCATCATTAGTAGATAGTTGGAATTTTGAAAGAGTAGCCAGAGAAGAATGATTGAAAAGGTAATATGTGAAGCAAAGACTTGAGGGATGTGAGGGGTAAGCCATGATCCTTGGTGGGGGAAGAGTATTCTAGGCAGAGGACACAGCGCATACAAAAGCATACAGTTTAGGGCCTCATGTGAGGCTCAGTTATTTGATGAGGTCAGCCTTGTTCCCTCAAGCACATTTTTAGCCATGAAGGGGAATTTACTGTCTCCTGTCTAAAAAGGTCTGTGGTGGATTTCAGGTACCGCTGGATCCAAGTGTTCCAATGATGACATTAGTATTCTATCACTTCTAGTTTCCTCTGTGTTAGCTTCATTCTCAGATAAGGGTAACCTTTCTTACTCTTTTCAGCAAAATCACAGGCTTGAGTTGTATTGGCATAGTTCACATAACCATCCTTGCCCCAGTTGCTATTGCCAAAGGGATAGACTGGTCTGATTGACCAGTCTCCATTCCTGGAGACAGTGTGTACCTTTAGTCCCTTTTGAACCATGCAGACTGAATGAGAAGATGGAGATTTCCTTCAGAAAATAGGGTATAGTTGTGAGAAGGGTATGAAGGCAGGGCAGGTGGAGATTACAGAATGCCGACTTCACTTTCTTCCTAGCCACTCTCATCCTAGGCAGGATGGTTTCTCTCCTGAGCTTTTTGATTTTTTTTTTTCTTTAAAATGGGAAGAGAATAATTTCATTTTTCTTTCTTTCACAAAAATAGTTTAAGAGGAAACAAAGGAAAGATTCTTTTTAAAAAAGATTTAAAAAAAACAATCAAAGCCATAATCCATCCCTTCTTCCTGACCTCTGTACCTTCAAACCAGTTCCACCTCAGCAGGGGTCCGTCTGGCTTTAATTCTTTTGGGTAGAATATGTTTTTTAAATCCTCTTGGTGCCCACGTCTCAATCCTTGTTCTCTCTGTTGCCAGGAGGCCCAGAAGATTAACAATGGCTCAAGCCAGGCGGATGGCACTCTCAAGCCCGTGGATGAAAAAGAGGAGACGGTGGCGGCCGAGGTCGGCTGGATGACCTCTGTGAAAGACTGGGCGGGGGTGATGATATCTGCCCAGACGCTGACCGGCAGAGTCCTGGTGAGTCCCTGGCGCCCTCCTCACATGAGGAGGCCTGCTCTCTGGTCCACGATCTCTGCCTTTATGGGGATGTGGTGTTTCACTCCGTCTTCTCCAGACCATTGGCTGTTGCGAGGTGGGGGTGAGGAGTGAGTGCTTACGTGGGATCATGGAGAGACTGGCGTCTTTGTGCACATCTGAGCCAGTGGTCTGGGGGGATTTGCAGAGTGAGCCAGCGTCTGGGGCAGAGAGGGTCTGTTGGGGAGAATGTAGAGCATTTCCTCTGCTAGCAGAGTAGGTGTGTGTTCTCACACACACAGTGCACACACAGACACACACCTACAGCTTGATTGTCTTGGTGAGAAGAAAGGGTCAGAGAAATGTGTGCTCAGAATTCTGCAGAGGCTGTATAAAATGGGATCCAGTGAGTTCTGAGTGTGTGTGTGCGCTTGTGGATGCACAGGTATGCATGTGTGTGTTTGGTGGCCTTCTGAGGCTGTTACTAGTGTCCTCTGGCCGCCATAATTTTCAGAAATCCCACCCTATGTGCTCAGAATCATGCCCGTGGTAGAAACCCTCAGTCATGCTGGTGATGAAACTCAACAGCAGCCCACCTGTCACTGCTGGTCCCATGCTTGGAACGTTGCTTGTGTGACCTTATTTCTGAGGTGGCTGTTCTCAGCCCCACCTGCAGCCTAGGCTCATCCTTCCCCTTCTCCGTGCACTTACTGCATTCTCTCTGGTCTGCTTGTGTGGAGCTAGGCTTCATTGACCAGCTTCATGAACTCCTGGTTCTTGGCAAGTATTGTGGGTGGAACAAGCCTGAAGTGACCAGTAATCCCTATTTGCCTGGGGAACCTGGGACATGGTTCTTTTGGTGCAAAGACTGGGAAAGTTGTGGGTGAACAGATATGAGTTGGTCACCTGGTCAGGCCAGGCTTATGCCATGGTTGGGCTTCTTCCCTGGGTAGCCCTGTCCACCAGCTTTCTTGGGTCTGATGAGTCAAGAGTTTCCTTGAGAAGGATGTGACGTTCTAAATAACACCCTGTGATTCTGAAAGCTGTTTTGTATGGACTGTCCTTCCTTGTCCTGATGCTGGGGCTCAGTCAAGAGTCATTTGGCTTAGACATAGAATGAATGGGGATGTCCTAGTGGCTTGGGGGTATCGGAGATCAGGCAAGGATGCTGAAAGATAGATGCCATCACTTTTTATGTTTCATGGCAAAAACTCAGTGAGAAGGTGAGCACAGATGTTGGGAGATGGTGAAATTTCACCCATCAGAATCCTTGGGGAGAACTCTACATTATATGTTTGATAAATATCTCACTCACTGCTTGAGGGAAGGAGTAAGTCACTAAATGTCATGCTCAAGTCACCAAACTGGTGGCCAAACAGCCTTCAAGGAGGACAGGGCTCTGTTAACTGAGGGACCACCAGGAGCTGTGCCTTCTGAAGAATCTGGTTGTGGAGTCATAGATTATGTTATTGGTAAGAAGTGGCAAAATAGAAAGTGGGAAAACTTAAAGCTGGGATTATGGAAAGGCGGAGAGAGAAACTGGTGAGGCCAGTTGCTGTGTGGAGGAAGATGGAGGTGGGTGGTCTGGGTTGGTGGGACTTAGGCTTTCCTAGGCAGCCCTGAATGTCTCATGAGGAATTGAAGGTGGTTTGTTGTGGGCTGTGTTGTGTGACCATCACCCTCATCTCCCCTCTAGAGGCTTCAGTAAAGTCTCTATTATTTTTTCACACTTGCATATGAGTAGATTCTGTGTGGGAAATGTAAGGAGGTTGGAGTCTGGGTCTGTGCGTTCACCTGGGTTGAAATGGAAGTAGTGCACTGTACATGCATAGTACAATGAGAGGTACGATGAGAGATACAAGGAGAGGGTGAGGGAATTGCAGACAGCTTGGTTGCACAGTATGATGCCTGCTGCTTCAGTGCGGCCACTTAGGACCATTCTATCTATTTTCATTAGCTAAGAGACACTGAGCACCAACTTTAGGCCAAGTGTTTTATCATCTCTGTGAAAAATAATGAATAATCCTAATTCCATCGCACCATGGTTGGAAGGTATTGAAGGGAGGAGAAATGCTTTGAATACTAATATTGCATGAGTGTGTATGTGGTGGAGAGGCTGAGTGTGGGGAAGCAGGGAGTCAAGGAAGAATTCACAGGGCTTCATTGGAGGGAAAGCCTTTGAGCTGAAATGTCTATTTCAAGGTGAACTGAACACATTTCATGATAGAGACAATATAAAAAATAAAAGCATAGCTAAGCTTGAAAACAGGGACTACTTAGTGGGCCAGGAGCTGAGAAGGATGCCTAATAAAATAGAAAGCATTTGAGTGGAGCTTGGCAATGTGGGTTAGGATCCTGAAAAGTTAGGGGAGAGGAAATGATTCCACAGTGAGGGAGCAGCAGAAGATTAGGGGCATGGTGTGTTAGGAAATGAGGCTGGAGCTGGCAATACAGAAGCACCTGAGGGGCAGTGAGACTGGGAACGTGGGTTGGAGACAGCTTGTTGGGTCTTCAAATGCTGAGCTAAGGACTTTGGACTGGAAACATCCATTTTACGGATGCATCACAGTTTGTATTTCCATCTACCAGCTTGGGTTGTTTCTACTTCTACTTCAGATTTTTATTGGAATATGACTTTTTATTTCAGTTTGGTAAATATCTGGGAATTGGATTGTTCTGTTTTCTGGTAAGTTTAAGTTCATAAGAAACTATCAAGTTAGCTGTTCCTAGCAGGACTGTATGAATGTTCTGGTTGTTTTTCATCCTTGCTGGTACTTGGTAATATCAGTTCATCTTTGAATTATAGCATTCTAAACAGTGTTTAGTGATATCTAAGTGTGGTTTTAATTTGTACTTCCCTATGTTTGGAGCTTCCCTGGTGGCTTAGATGGTAGTGAATCAGTCTGCAATATAGGAAACCCAGGTTTGATCCCTTGGTGGGGAAGATCCCCTGGAGATCTTGGCTACCCATGTTTAAATATCAACATCTTTCCATATCTTTATTTGACATCAGTATATGTCCAGTGAAGTTTCTATTCAAATATTTTGCCCATTTCTAATTGATTTGTTATTATGGGGGTTTTCCCCCATTTTTATTGAGGTTTATTTTCACTGCTGGGCTTCCCCGGTGGCTCAGATGGTAAAGCATCTGTCTGCAGTGTGGGACACCCAGGTTTGATCCCTGGGTTGGGAAGATCCCCTGGAGAAGGAAATGGCAGCCCACTCCAGTACCCTTGTCTGGAAAATCCCATGGATGGAAGAACCTGGTAGGCGGCAGTTCCTGGGGTGGCAAAGAGTTGGACACGACTGAGTGGCTTCACTTATTTTCACTGCTATCTAATTGTCATCATCCTTTACCCTATTTTAACAGTCACTCTCCATTTCCTTATCCCCCGCCCCTAACAACTACTAATGTACTTTCTTCTCTATGGATTTGCATATTCTGGACATTTCATATCAATGGAATCTTTTTTTTTTTTTAAGACTTTTTAAAGTCAGATACTACTGTAGACAACAATGTTACTGAGAGCCTCTCAGGAGCCAGGCACTGTGCTAAGCCCTAAATGTTGGGATCAGGTTGAAGGGCAAGGACAGTGTTGAATTTGTTCCATAGCTCCTATTTTGTTATAGGAGTGCATAATGAGGAGGCCACGGAGCCAATCTTATCAGTGAATTTATGTCCATTTTACAGTTGAGAAAATCAAGGCCGAGGAAGAACAGTGAAGTGACAGAGCCAGGCTGGTACTTGCAGGCTTCCAGATTCCCCATCCAGTGCTCTTCCTGTGTCATCACTTCCCATCTGAAGATAATACCTCCTTTTTGAAGCCACTGTCATCTGTTGCTTTGGCTGTGACATGACTGTCTCTGAGCCCAATTAGGTCCTGAGGCTGCTTGTTCTGATGCTCTTAACATTTGCGTGGACTAGCATGGCATGCTCAGGCCTTCTTGCCTTGGACTGCCCATGAGGCCAGCTGCTTTCCGAAGGTCTCTTGGGAGAAAGGGTGGCCTGGGCTGCTCTGGTGCACTCAGGCTGTATCAGTCCCACTGCCCGGAGAGCAGGCAGCTCTGAGTACAGGCGGCACCTCTAGAGCAGGCCTCTCCTTTAGGGAAGGCAGGTCCTTGCTCTGAGCAGGGAAGAGATTTCATATTGCACTCTCAGCGTGCAAGGGGAAGCAGCTCTCCCTGTTCAGAACCCGAAGCTGTGTTTGTCTTGAACTGTCCAAATGTTTATCCTTGCAACAATGGGACTCAAGTGAGACTAGACACCGGCTGTGCAGTTTTCCTTTTCAATTTTTAATTTGTTTTCCTTGACGCACATTTCAGGAGCTTGGCCTCCACATCTGGGCCCTTACCTATCTCATTGTCACAGGCGATTTTCAAAACCAGGCAAGGCGGGCAAGGCCCAGCTGGGGAAGGATGGTCCAAGACAGCCTTGGCGTATCTGTGGATTCACTGGTTGTCCGGATCTCTCAGATGAGCACATCGTTCATGCAGGAAGTATTTACTTCTCACCTGCACCAGGCATTATTCCAGACACTGGGCAGAGGGCAGGGAGCACCAGGGATTCAGCATGTGGATTATTCACATTGTGAAACTAGACAAAAGGTTGTAGCGCTCAGTGTAAACAATGTGAAATGAGGGTCACCCTTTACCGGTGCTTTTATTAACTGTTAATTCTATTAACAACTGGAGCTTCAACATCAGGGTGAGAAACTTCCTTGACCAGGTCTCAGAATAGCCCATCTCTGTCTTGTGTCTCAGCCCTAGCTTTACAAAAACAGCGAGATCTCATAGGGCCTCCTCTTAAAAAAAAAAAAAAAAATTTTTTAACTTTTTATTTTGTATTGGAGTAGAGCCAATTAACAATGTTGCCCTAGTTTCAGGTGACAGCAATGGGACTCCTCCATTCACACACATGTATCCATTCTCCCCAAAGTTCCCTCATATTCAGGCTGCATAGGGCCTCCTCTTAGAGTGATGGCTGAGGGGTTCTGTATCAGAGT